TTAACAGCCAATCCACTGCTCAGAGAACCACAGCACACTTTGATGAAAAGAAGACACCCACAGGACAATCCTACTCTAGGCCAGCATTAAGGATAAAGATGGCACAAACACGACTGTGGAAATGCAGACCGTGTGCCTGGATTCAGGACTGGCTTTGCAGGATAACCATATCCTTAATTTGCCAAGGCCCTTATATGGAGTGGGAGTGCATTTGAAAAGTCACACAGTTGTTGTGTATAAATGTTCACATGCGCATTTGCAGTTACCCAAGCTACAGGAGAAACTGCAGTCTCAGGCCTGTGGACTTAGGGCCAGCAAGGAAGGCAAGTGGGGTCATAAAGCAGCTGAGTGCCAGAAGGCACAGTGGCATCTGCATGGTCACAAGACAGCATGGACGTGTGGTAGAGCCATGCAGCTCACAGTTAGCTGTTAGCCATGGCAAATGACATGGTCCAGAAGCCAAGACACAGTCTGATTTTGAAGACTGTCAAAGGTCTATCTTGAGCACACACTGGAGACTGAGCCACCTGTACCTTACCTAGGAGCACATTTAGAAGCCAGCTGTAGAAGTACTGCGTCCTCCTGGAGTGCTGGCAGATGCTCACTGCAGAGCCAGCAGCTGTCCGCCGGACAGTGGGGGAGCTTGATTTCAAATTTGCTATGAAAGCCTTTAATAGAGCCTGTGAAGATGAAAACCCAAGTAGAAAAGATGAGGTTGCTATACAGCTTACCACGTTTCATAAAACCGGACTTAAATAAGAAGATTCAAATTTTTGTAGAGTAAAAATTATAAACAATTGAGACTTCTCTGACAGCTGAACAGAAATATCTCAAATCTGGGACAATGAAGAGCAGTTTACAAAAATGGAGTCCATTTACTTCTTTTTAAATTGCATCAGAGACTTGCTCAGGATGTATGTCCTCTTTGTGAGTGTGGAGCTCTCAGCGTCTCTAGGGAAAATGCACCTGGCATATTTAGGGGCAGGGTGAATAATGACACCATATAAAATACTGGGAATGCAAAAAATCAACAAATAGTAAGTTAAAGAAAAAGAGTACTAGACAACTATAGCAATGTCCTGGCCCAAGGACTCCTGTAGGTCATCGGGACTCAGATATCTACAAGTGGAGACATCAGCGATGTGATGGCTACACAGCATACTGCTCACAAGTGTTCTCCCAAGAAACTAGAGAGTAAGAATCTCTCATGGGAGGAGATGCTACAGAAGAAGGAGCTGCAAGTCCAATGGTGGCCATTTAAATGTTAAAAAAAAAAAACTACCCAAAGAATGAGAAGGGCTGGACACCTAGCTACTCTCCTACGAACATCCATTCCTATCATGTAAACCGTGCTCTGAGCCATGACCGAGTCCGGTGTCAGGCATGCGCAGAGCACTACTAACTGCCAGTCAGGGACTGCTGGGGTTGTGCCTAGGCAAACCAGCACAAACTAACCAACAGGCACCTGGTTTCCAAATCTCTCAACAATGTGCTTGAATAAACTGGCTCTTAGGGGCTCATTGAGTCACAGTGACTTTGTGGATTACACTCTAGAACCTGTGAGACAGAGGACAGACCAGTCTCCAGCTACCACCAGTGGTGCGCTGCCTGCAGTTCTCCCTTGGATGCCTCCTGGAGAACCCAGTCAACTTATCTCTGGCAAATTGTTCTAGCTATAAGAAGAGATACTAGCATCGTGAAGAACTCCTTTAATGGAAAATGCACACACATATACCGTTCAAAAAGGTAAATTAAAAATAATGCTGGGGTCAAATGAGGTAGTACAGGCCTATAATTCCAGCTACTCTGAAAGTAACATTGGGAAGATCATGGTCTGAGACCAGGCCAGGCAAAAAATTAGTAAGACTACAATCATTGTGGTAAGGGGCAACCTGGCCAGAATGAAGAGAGCTGGAGAATTCCAGGACTGACAACTTTACTGCGGAAATGGATCAGTAAACTACCTGTCAGGTGGAAAATGGTGCTGAGATGCATTTTACAAAGCTGTTGTAAAGTAAAAGATGACTACATGTCCAACAAATATAAACAAAAAAGAGGCAATTACTAACTCTAAGAAAACAAAAAGTTGTACAAAGAACATCATCATAAGCAGTCCTGAGTATTTAGTTGTACACAATAAAGTACACACTCGACATTGATAGAACTACTGTGAAAAGATACAAGTGCTAGAGCTAAATTCACCTCTTCTTATAGTTAACAACTATCTAAAATTTTAAAATCCAAAACCAGCAGTCCAAGCATGTTCTTCATAAAAGTGAAGACTGGCAGCTTGGTTGATGCATACCATAACCTCAGCTACTCAGGAGGCAAAGATAAGGAGAACATCGAGGCCAGCTCAGGCAAAAAGTTAGTGAGGCCCCCACTGCAACAAACAAGCTGGGTATAGTGGTACATGCCTGCAATCCCAGCTATGCAGGAGCAAAGGTAGCCTGACTGAGGCTAGCCTAGGAAAAAATACAAGACCCTCTCTGAAAAATAAATAAAGATAAAAGTGCTGCAGCTACAGCTCAAGTGGTAGATTACTTGTCTAGCAAGCGTGAGGCCCTGAGTTCAAACCCCAGTACTGAAAAAAAACAAAAAAGTGTAGGAAGAAGCACTAAGATTAGGACAAGCAGGCAAGGGGCTACTGTACTGATTTATATTCCTGGATTTCACTGATAATAAATTTGAATAAACACAGATTGGTAGATGGGCAAATGAATAAGCAGATTTTTTTAACTGCTGATGGCTCAGGAAAGGAGGTACATTACACATACATAAAAAACGCACTGTCTTCCTCAAATGTGATCTAAATCATGGAAATGACCAGAACTAACACCAAGAAGGTTACACCTAACACCTGTCTGATCTCTGAACTCTGACAGCACAGTTATCATAGAGGTATCTGCCCCCAAAAGACCCACAATGAGCAGGTGCACACCGGGGCTGTGCAGCACCCCTGCCCAGGAGCCTCCACCCCACTCCAAAGAGGGAAGAATAAAAATAACAGCAGCAGGCGCTCCCACTGACTGAGTAACATGATGTGGTTACTACACTACACTCTTTAGATGCAAGGCCTCCTTTCCTTATTCCAAAACCCACAAAATTGGTTTTTAAAACCACATTAGTATTAACAAGAAAACTTCAAAGCTCAGAGAAAAAACATGAGATGCTGAATAATTTATCCAAGGTCATACAGCTAATGACAGTAGTCACACCTAACAAATGAGCACTTCCTGTGGGCTAGGTCCTACACCACACTCAACATGAACACTTGCATTTCTCTCCCAGAACAGCCCTATGTGGCACAAGTCATGTCCCATTTGTGAGATTAGATAGGGAACAAGCTAAGAGCTGTTGGGTAACTTGCCTACAGAGAAAGAGCCAGCAAAGAGGGCAGAATCCCAATGCAAGTCCATCTAATTCCAAAGAGTGTTCTCACCTCTCCACTCTACTGCCTCCCAGGAGGGCTACGGGGCCCTAGTTTAGGACTGAGCTACATAAAAGGAGACCAAGAATCCTGGAATCTGCAGAGCACGCGACAGAGACACAGTTTCTGGATATTATAAAGAAAACACTAAAGCAGGTTTGAGGTGGCTTGTTTGGACGTGGAGCAAAGAAGCCAAATGGACCCTGGTGGCTACAGGGCATCCATTCCCACAAGGCCACCAGGGAGCTCTCTTCTCCCTGTCAGCCCAGTATAGCCTCTTTCCTCTGCTTGACCAAGGGTTCATTCTAGTGCACCAAAACAAATCTGCTCTGGAAAGATGAATTTGCATCTATAAACCATTACCCTATTCACCTCTTCACCATATGATAGGGAAGCTATCATGATAGGGAGGAGAAAGAAGCTCTTGGGTACCTCCAAATGACACAGATGGTGGCAGTATCATCATGAAGAAGTACTCTCAGATGACTGCCCATCCAAAAGCCCTGAACCCCATGACACTCATTCAGGGCATCCTTGGGATGTTTGAGACTGTAGGCAGCAATCATACCTTAATTTCATTGTCATTTGCAAAATTGCCAAAAGAAGCCATAATTTTGGGAACAGCTGCAGCCAAGGTCTCCTGGACCGACTCCTCAGGTCTCTTGCTTGTTCGAGTCAGGCATGGCAGAAGATTCACCAGGTAGGGCCTGCATGTATGAGAGGAATATTCATCATTCTTCATCATTCTCCTATAATGAGAAATATAAGCACTTGGTCCCCTAGGAAAACCCAGTTTTATGAGCAAATGGTCCTTAGGCAGACCATGCAACACTCAGCTAGAACAAGAGGCCTAAGTACAGAGGAAGCTCAGCTGTCCTTCATCTCTCCTATGGTCACAAAGGACAGTAAGAAACTGGGTTTAAACATTATTTACAGTAAGTTACAATAGTTAATAAAATACTTGTATTTTCAGTTAGAAAACAACAGATCATAAGACAGCACTACTAGCCGGGCACTGGTGGCTCAAGTCTATAATCCTAGCTACTGGGGAGGCTGAGTTCAGGAAGCTCACCATTCAACGCCATTCTGGACAAAAAGTTAGTGAGACTCCATCTCAGTCAATAACTGGGTGTAGTGGTGCACGCCTGTATCCCAAGCTATACAGGAGCCCGAGAATGGGAGAATTGCGGTTCCAGACCAGCCCAGGCAAAAAAGTTCCTAAGACCCCATCTCAGCGGAAAAAACTTGGGCACGGTGACCCGTCATACGAGCTTTGGCAGGAAGCATGAAATAGAAGGATTACAGTCCAGGGCAGACTGGGCAAAAAAAGCAAGACCCTATCTCCAAAATAACCAGAGCAGAAAAGAGAGGGAAGGATGGAGGGAAGGAGAGAGGGACCACTTTTAAAACAAAAAATTTTAAGACACAAATAAAGCTTTCTTGAAAAAGAGGCATTACAAGCTAGGAAAAAAGTACTCGATCTAAATGAGGGCTTCCAGGGACAACGCACTCCTAGAGAAGAAAGAATGTGTGAGGTACAAAGACTGAGTTACAAACAGCTAAGGCCAGCAGAACTTTGGCTGAACCAATCCTTGGCCCAGTGCAGGACTAGCTGTGAAGGTACCTGCCACACATGACCTCCTCCCCCGAGTGGTGAGACAGCTGGCAAGTAGGACCACAGACAGCGCTGACCCCTTTTGTGACACAAATGCCACAGGCATTTGGAATATGTTAGAGAAGGAGGTTGGGGGGCCTCTCTAAGGAGGTGACTTTTTTGCTGAACACTGAAGGGAAAAATAAACTCAACACAAGCAGGAAGAGAAACAGGACTTTTTGCAGAACTAAAATGAAGCCAATGAGTCAACGTAGCATGGAAGGTGGCCAAACCTTCCTGGACATGGGTAAGGGGTATGGATTTTATCTCAACAGCACTGGGAGGAGAATGCATGTACATGCCTATGTATGTGTGTGTGTGTGTGTGTGTGTGTGTGTGTGTGTGTGTGTATGTATATATATGTATATATGTATTTTGGGGGGTAGAGATAGGGGACAGTACTGGGGATTGAACTCAAAGCCTCACCACTTGAGCCACATTCTTGTTTTTTTTTGCTTTTAGTTTGTTTTTCAGATAGGGTCTCATGCTTTTGCCCAGGCTGACCTTGAACCATTATCTTCCTATCACTGCCTCATAAGTAGCTGGGATTACATAGATGCAGCACCACTCCCGGCCACAATTATGCATTTTTCAAGGCCAGTTTGGCTGCTACGTGGTGAACTTGGAATACATTGCTCCAGAACAGTAAGGAGAGTTTTCAAAATAAGAAGAGTTAGGCTGAGAATGGAGTTTAGTGGTAGAATGCACACCTTTTAAGTCTGAAGCCAAAGGCTGAATTTCCTGCACCAAAAATAAAAATAAATAAATACAGGTAATAAAAGGAAAGGGTCTGATAAAAAGTAAGGTACTTAGTGATTATACCTCTGTGGCCATAGAAGATTCTGACTAAAACTCAGCCTCAAAGGATGAAATCACTGTTTTCATGTAAACAGTGAGGATATAGAACTCTACACAGTTTCTCAGTGGTAGAGGTAAGGATCTCCTGGCACATGGGCACATTTTGTCAGTTGAGAGAGAAGCAAGGAGGTGATGCAAACCATGGTTCTGCTTTATTTCTCAACCTATTAAGACTCAACTGTTTCAACTAGTTAAAACTTTATACATTGTCCAACACTCATCTTCTTAACCTACGTAGTAGACAAATGCCTATTTTTCAATAGGCATAAAGCTTGGTACTTCACCTTTAGCCATCTTTTAAGTAACTACAATGTGTGACACTTGTCAGTTGCAGGCTGCAGTGCAGAGCAGGACAATGAGACCCGCTGCCTTGGGGAACACAATCTGTAAGTGTACGAGAATACCCAACTGTGATTAGTGCTACGAAGCAGAGAAGCACAATGCCAACAGCAATTTGGAGGGCAGAGATGGGGAACTGCAGACAGAGCGGATAGGGACGTAAAGAATCAGAAGATGCTGGCCACCCACCAAAAGTCATTGAAAAAATTAAAAAAACAAAACAAAACAAAAAAACCCAGAGCTGTAACTTACCTGCATTTCTGGGGCCGAACAAGGTGAGCTAGCTCAGCGAACCTCCAAAGCGCCGCACGCAAACTCCGAGGGGCACCGTTCTGAGTGGGTTTAGTGAGCAATGTGTTAAACTGAAGAGTCACAGGCACTAGTCATATAAAGGGTTGCATGAAAGCAAAGCATTTTCTGTCACTGTTAATTTCTTGCTTAGAAAAAACGCTAGTTAAATGCATAAAACATCTAGCTTAAAGCTCCAGAGGGCTTCAATTATAAACATATAAAAAATAAAGTTGGCATTTTTATCCCTCAGCTCATCTAATAAGACCAAGGAGTAAACTTATGAAGCAAAGCAAAATAATAAAGTCTACTTTACCAAACAGCATTGCCTTCTAACAGTTTTGCTTATTGACAAAAAAAGATAAAATTTCATACAAACTGTTCAATACAGTGCAACAGTATCATCTTTTCAATAATGTAAAGTAAAGGCCCACCTTTTTAATTTCCTTATACAGTTCTAACTGTAGCCTTGGAAGATTAGAATCCATCAGAGCCTACAAGGAAATACAGAGATTTGTTTATGGAAGACACATTCCTGCTCACAGCTCTAAAGAATGGTAAAAGGCAACCAAAATTTGAATTTGGGGGCTAAGTCAAATACAATAGCAACTAAATTAGGAAGCTATTCACTAAGACAGAACAGACATAGGCAAAAATTAATGGATATCTAAAGGTCAATGAATTAAGGAAAAAGAATTTTTTATCATACTCAAATACTACATAATATCAAAATTCAAATTAATGCTAAAATCTCATAGTAAGTCTTCAATCTTCACTAGCAGTTCCTCTGCTAGTCAGATGACTCCAGCTCAGACAATAGCCTGCGAAGTGTGCAGGACACGGTGCTGAGGGTGAACCAGAGGACAGAGCCCCTCACTCTGGCAAGGACCACTTCTTAACACACAATCAATCCTCCATGTATCTGAAGGTCGGGCCTCCTCCCTGGCAGAAACACTGGCCCTGCCTCAGTACCTGGGTTGGGTGGGGAGGTACCTCATTGTCCTCACAGCTCATTTGTTGCCCACCCTGCTCCCTTCAGGACTAAACCAGAAATAATGTCCATATGGCCAACCTGTAACCACATCAGAGAAGGATGCCCCATTCTAGTCCCTGGGAACCTCTTCTAAAATGGCACTGCAAATGCTTGCCTATGGAGAAGAGAGGAGAATGTAACCTAGCCCTCTGATTCACAGATTCACAGTGATCTGATGTCCTGGGACTAAGCTGGTCCTAGTAGGCCTCACCTACTGGGTGAGCTAGCATGAACATCACAAGCAAAGGCACACTTGAGGAATTTGATCCTAAAGTATTAGAACATCCCAGAAACTTTTAAATCTGATTCTGCTGTTGCAGTTTATACTACAAGTCCTTAACTGAGTGAACACACTGAATATATACTAAAAGACTGCTTTTTCAAATAAAATCTGAAGCATATTAAACCTTGATTTAGCTGCATAAATGTTTTATAAACTAATACCAAACTTTTAAAACAAAGAAACTAAACCTTAACTCTTCTAAGAACAGGGCATGGCCTCTCCAGGATGACCTCGTGGGGTGATGCAGCCCGCCACTGCTTCCTCCTCTATTCCACCTGCTTCCACAATCAGTTGCCAAACCAACCCCATGGTGTAGCTACTTCTTCACTCACGGTCCAGTGCTGGCACCCTAGCTCAAGCCTACCCTGTCCTTGTACCATAGGCTCCCAGTAGGGTTCACTCTACCCCAGTCTCTCTCCACTCATCACCATGTCCCACTTCTGGCACTCCTCAGACCATTTCAAAGATCTCTAAGAGCTCTTCACTTTCTACCACTAAAAGCACAAACAGCTTGAACAAATCCTCAAGGACCCCCATTCTCTGCAGCAAGTTCATCCTTTTCTGAGCTACCACCAGCTTCCTATCTTGAGGCAGAAGAGGGGAAGGTCTTTTTTGCCTCTCTCGACAGAAATCACCTTAGCCTCCTGACTGCCACTACAATGTGCCGTATCTGACGACCTTGTAGACTCCCACTTTATACCACATGTTATTTCTAGACACACACGCTTTCCACCTAAGACTGTAGTTAACTGGAGGGCAGGAGCAAGCTGCCAGGCTGTGTCAGACCCTGGTGGTTTTCTACACAAAGCCCATTTTCATTGGCTAGAGATTAGCCTTCATAATACACATAGAGCAATTCTTATAAGGAGACAAAAGTCCAGGACTTGACTGCCAGGTCACCATCCCTGCAGTCCTGCCATCCCACAGTCCTGGCCTAGAGCCACTCCCTCTGCCACATTAACTAGATCTAACCACACCTTGATATATCCTCTTGGCTGAACCTGATGACTAATATTTGAGGAAGAAGAAATCTTGAGAGCAACCAAAAGCCATTGTCAATGTGCAATTTTCAGCAGAAGAGAAAGAATGAGAGAGAAAGAATGCCTAAAGGTATGCCGTGAGAACATGGAATCTCTGTCCTTGAAGACAGAAAGAAGTAGAGAGACAAGCAGCAAGAGAACCAAGACCTGGAGTTTCCACTGAAGGCCATGATCTATGGTCTCAAACATGCACCAAGTCACTGTGACCAGCAGTTCTGGAAACAGTCTCTGAGAGAGATAGGCTGAAAATGAAATTATGCCTATCAGTGAAATGAACAGTACAGAGTATTTATATTGTGCTTTCTGAACCTCTCAATCCCCCACTTGCCATGAACAAGGCAACCTAGAGCTTTAAGGTTTTCTACTTCTGAAGATCAAAGATCAAGAAATAAAATGTCAGAGAAAGTCCAGCCTGGTCCTGCCAGTGGGAATAATAAAAACAAGCAAGGGTATCTAAGCCTGGAGAAGCAAACAGAACTGAAACAAGCCATCTGCAAATGAGCTGCTGGCACCACCCAAGTGAGGGTTACCAGTATACCAGAAACACAAAACAGATGAGACTGACCCTGCCATCAGGACACCAAAAGAGAGGAGAGGTAAGCACAGACACCAAGAGCACATGCAGAGAGAGCAAGGCAACTACTCTAGAAATGACAGAACAACCTCCCACCACACACGCACACGCACACGCACACGGAGCTGTAACCCTGCGGCCACAGAAGCCCGTGTCTGGCCATAGGGGACACAGCTAGCCAAATGACTGGGAGCTAGCCAGGTGGGGAAAGATTCCTTTCCATGGAGCCAGGTAACAGAAAATGAAAAGGGGCTGGTGTGCTCATGCCATGCTCTTCCACCTTGCTGGGTAGAAAAGTAAGGATGTCATTATCAGTAAGAACACTTGTAAAGATCTGGTATGTGTCAATCCTCACACAAATACATATATATGTTCAAACACACACCACAAAAAATGAATTCCATTTTATAATTGAGAAACCTTAGGCTCATAGACATTAAGTACATCCCAAGTCATTCAGTTACTAAGTAGCAAAGGCAGGATTCCAAAACAGAGATCTCCCTATCTCCTTAGACATAGAAATAATGGGGTGACTGCCTTCCTGAGGGGGATGGACCCATGAAGGAAAGATACGTGCTTAGCCAGTACAAAATGTGATACTCTGTGAAGAAAGATCTTGGGAAGATTGCAGGAAAGTTCTTTCAAAACCCTAATGGGGAAGGGAAATAAGTGAACCCACATTAGGCTGGAGTTCTCAGTTCAACTGACCAAGGAAGTATTACTACCATAGGGAATAGAGAAGAGACAGCACCTCTTCTCAAGCCTTATCCACATGTCAGGGCTGGGACTCAAAGCAGAAGGGGAAACAGAGGAAAAGCTGCGAAGGTCTAACAAAGACGATCCTTGCAGAGAAAAGAACTAAGTACATGTTGTCTTTGACCATCATTAAGAGACAGTTTTTGGAAAAAGTATCAACAACTATGCAGAGAGTCATCCTCAGTGCTGGTGAACCTACACTACAGTGGGAATGACATTTAATTATAGACACACAACTTAAAAAGCCCAATCACAAATGCAAAGGTAGTCTAGAAGAAGATGACCAGGACAGGACAGGCTGAAGACTCACCAGAAGAGAACAGAAAAATGATAAAGATGCTTTTACTAAAAAGACATTAAGAACTAGTGCAGGAGAAGAAGCCTTTCATCTTCAATGGCAGTGGAAAACAGAAAAAAGGAACAGAATATAGCCTCAGAGATCAGCACAGACTCAGCACTGGGCAACCATGACAGAACAAGACAGGTGCCTTGCCTCTCTACTCACCTGTTCTAGCACTGCCACTCAGAGGCTGTGCTCAGTGGCTTCCTGGCTTCATATTTTGTTCTAGGCCTTCCTTTCTTCCCATTCATGTCAAGTTAATTCCAACTAACCTACAAACTTGGTAAGTCCTATCTTTAACCTATAAGCAGTACTGCCTCTCCCATGTTAGGAAGAAGATGAAGGAAGGAGCTCTAGAGACACCAAAAGCAGACTTCACTCACCCATCACTGCTCTCCCAAGGCTTTGTGGTTCTCCAGGCTATGCTCAAACAAAAGTGATAGCAACCTGCTGAAACATTTCTCCCAGTGTGGGTAGAGGCCACATCAGTGCGCTTCAGAATTGACCTATTCACTGTATGATATTGAGTAGGAAGATATAGCTAGGTGTAAACAGATACATGAGCATCCCCAAACCACACATCAAAAATGGAAGACACAGGGCTGGTAGAGTGGCTCAAGTGGTAGAGTACCTGCCTAGCAAGCATGAGGCCCTGAGTTCAACCCCCGGTACGACCCCAAAAAAAAAAAAAGAAAGAAAGAAAGACATGCAGACGTCATAAGGACACTTTACTCAGGACAGAAGAAGGCTAAACAATGATTTCTGTTCTTAGCCCACAATGATCAGAGCACTGAGAAGGACACCATACATATGGTTCTTACTTTTATAACTTTGTTGAGGCATTCATCAGCCACCATCCTGACATCTGACTCCGCATCATCACTACACAGCAGAAAAAGTTCCATAGCGATGCCCAGAAGTTTCTGAAATTCTGGAGAATTTCTAAGTAAAAAAAGAAGAGAAAACCATCACAGCAAAGAGAGAATAGAGACATCATGGTGAAATGTAACGAGGTACCCAGGATCCTGGATGGAATTCTGAAACAAAAGGGACATTACATAAAAATTAAGAAAATCAGAATAAAATCTGGTCTTTAGTTAGTATTGTGTCAGTACTGATTCATTACTTGTGAAAAATGTAATTACAGTCTAATGTAAGATGCTAACTGAGGTAACTTTTACTTTTTAAGTTTTAGAGGGTTAAAAACCCTTATAGACACTGGTTCAGCTACTTCAATGCCAGACAGCCATCTGGTCTCTGCAAAAAGAGTGCTTTTACTCTTATATAGGATAATCTTGGAGCTATGAAAAAATTCAGTGAAACAATACATTACCACTATCCCTGAGTGTGTGTGTGCGCGCGCATGTGCTGTATATGCCCATGCATGTGCGTGTGCATGTGTGCACGCAGTACTGAGGATTGAACTCAGGGGCTTGTGCTTGCTGGCAAGTGATCTACCACTTGAGCCATGTCTCCAGCCCTGAGCTATTTCTTTTTACTCTCACTTTCAGTGTGTCCCAAAGTCTAACCACATTTCACTACAGACTCTATGTGCTCATGGTAAGACAGTTTTGTGCACTAAACAGAATACCAGTGTTCCAAAAACTGAAAGGTGGGTACTACTTGTAAACTATTTAAAAATGTTTACTTGACAGTGCCTCTTTAGGCTCCCATGATCCAACTGGTGAAACCCAGCCATGAGATGGAAAAGCTGATAGGCCATGCATGTGAAACTCTGAAGTATCCCAAACCAGAAAAATAGAGGGTGTTCTGGAAGTAATCCCAGTAACAGGGATGTGCTACTCTTCAAACATCAAAACTGATGGCTATCTCAGGATCTCAGTCTAAAGCACCCTGAAATAGAGTCCTCTTCCCTACTTGTCTCTAAGTAGTAATTTCTATCAATAGTCAAAAGACAGCCATGTACCCAAAAGAAAGCAAGAGACCACATGGGTAATGATCAACAAATATAAGAAAGCAAGAAGCGAGACAGGCCACTTATCCTATGAGAAATCCAGCCATGGACTAAGAGCTAAGGAGGGAAAGTCTCTGACACACAGAGCAGCATTCAACACTATAACCAAACATGCTGCCAACAAAAAGCTGATGGCAGCTACAAGTGTGAACCAAAGCTCAGTAGACACATCGAAATAAGAAAGACAAAGGCAAGATTTGTTTTAATATTTTATTTAAGCCAATATATCCAAAATATTATTTCAACATATAGTCATATGTAGAAACTGAGATACAGCAATCTTTTTCATAACTCATCTCAATTCAGGCCCTGAATTTTATTAGAAAATTTCATCTATACAGACTTCATAAAAATTAACAGTTCAAAAAGTTCATATACCAACCAATTAAATATCAATTTCCTAATTTAAATTTAAAATAGGTAAAGGGTTAATCAGGTTCTCTATTTCTTCTTGAGTTTTGGTAGTTTATGTCTTTTGAGAAAATTACCCATTTCATCTATGTTGTCAAACTGATTGGCACAAAGTTGTTGATAACATCACCAAATAATTCCTTTAATATCTCCAGAATCTATACCCATGTCGCATCCCTCATTCCTCACTGTGGTAATTTGTGACATAACACCTTTTTTCCTATCAGTCCATTTTTCATAAAATGGAGAGTATATATTGCTTAAAAGTTTATCATTTGAATAATCATGTATCAAATGTATCTATGTACCAGATATGGCAAATTACACAAAGAATAAATGCCACATACCTTCAAAGAATATAGGAGAAATGTTAACTATAATAAATTGGATTTGTTTGATTAATGGAACATCCTACAAGAGAATTTAGAATATAGAAGTATAGCGAAACTGTTCACCATCAAATAATGAAGTTTTTGAGTTTTGGTTTTTTTTTTCCTTTCTGAGGACTCATTTACTTAAGCAAATTTCTTACTACAGTAAGATGCGGTTTAAATAAAAGGGACAAATTTAGGCTCTTAGTAACTAGTGGAACTATTTCTTTGTTTTTGACTGTTTTCCAGTGGTATAAAATGGTAAGTCATATGGTAGTTCTATCTTCAGCTTTTTGGGGTGTCTTCACACTGACTTTCACAGTTGCTGCACCAATTTACATTCCCATTGGCAGTGTGTAAGGGTACAATTGCCCCTGTAGCCTCACCAGCACTGTGTTCATGATGACAGCTATTCTGAGTGAGGTGAGATGGAGCCTCAAGGGACTTTGACTTCCATTTCCCGAGTGGCTAAAGGCGTTGCACATTTTTCATGTATTTACTGTCCATTAGTACTTCTTTTGAGAACAGGCCTGCTCAATTCATTTGGCCACTGATTCATTGCACTATCTTTAGGTGCTTAATTTTTTGAGTTCTTCATATATTCTGGGTATTAATCCCCTGTCAAATGAAAGCTAGCAGAGACTCTCTCCCATTTTGAAGAGCTGTCTATTCACTCTGATCATTGTCTCCTTCGCTGTGCTGAAGCTTTTCAATTTGATGCAATCCTGTTTTTGTCAGTTCTTGCTATTTCCTGAGCTACTGGTGTCCTTACTCAGAAAGTACCCCCTGTGCCTGTAGCTTGAAGTGTTTTCCCTTAGTGGCATCAGTTTCAAGTCTTACATTAAGGACTTTGAGACATTTTGAATTGATTTTTGTACAGTGAGAGACAGGGATCTAGCTTCAGCCTTCTACATGTGGATATTCAGTTTTCCCAGCACCATTTGTTACGAGATGTCTTTTCTTCAATATATGTCTTTGGTACCTGTGTCAGAAACACGTAGCTGTAGCTGAAGGGTTGGTCTACATGCCTTTTTGTGCCAGTATCAGGCTGTTTTTCCTACTATGGCTCTGCAGTACATTTTGAAATCAGGAATTGTGATGCTGCCAACATTGTTCTTTTTTGCTCAGGATTGCTTTGGCTACCTGGGGTCTTTTGTGCTTCCATATGAATTTTAGGACTGTTCTATTCTGTAAAAAATGTCAATGAAACTTTGTTGGAGGTTGCATTAAATCCATAGGTCATTTTCAGTAATACAGCCATTTTCACAATTTAATTCTGCCAATCCATGAACATGGCAGGTCTTTTCATCTTCTAGTGTCTTCTTCAATTCTTCCTTCAGTGTTTATAGTTTTCATTGCAGAGGTCTTTCACCTCTTTAACTATGTTTATTCCTAGATTTGTGTTTCTTTTTAGGCTATTGTGGATGACATTTTCCTGATTTCTTTCTCAGCATGTTCATTGTTTGTATATAGAAAAACTACTGTCTCTTGGGCATTGATTTTGTACCCTGCTACTTTGCTGAACATGTTTATCTAAGAGTTTTGTGCTGGAGTCTTTAGTTTTGTGTTCTTTTTAAGAACACAATCATACTGCCTGCAAACAGGTAATTTGATTCGTCCTTTTCTATTTGCATCCTTTTAGTTTCTTTTCCTTCCTTTATTATTCTGGCTAAGAATTCAAGCAGTGTACTGAGTAAGAGCAGAGTAAGTGGACACCCTTGTCTTGTTTCTGATTTTAGAGGAAGTGCTTCCAGTTTTTCACCATGCAGCATAATGCTGGCTATAGGTTTGTCACATACAGCCTTTATTATGTCAAGGTATGATCCCTCTATATTCCTAGTTTCTTCAGGGTTTTCATCATGAAAGGATGTTTAATGTGTTGTATTTTTTTTCTGCATCTACTAAGATGATCATGTAGTTTCCGTCCTTGATTCTATTTATGTGCTTGCCAAATTCAGTTTGCAAATACTTTATTGAAGACTTTTGCTAATTTGTTCTTCAGGAAAACTGGTCCACAGTTTTTTGTGTCCTTGTCTGGCCTTCATAGGGTGAGTTTGAAAGTCCCTTTCCTTTCTGTTTCATGGATAATTTTATTAACTTGAGCCTTCTCTTTCTTTTGGTGAGTTTGGCTAAGGGCAGTCCATACTGTACCTCTTCAAAGAACTGACTCTGTTTCATTGACCCTTTGCATAGTTCTTTGCACTCCATTTAATTAACTTCTGCCCTCATCTATCATTGTTTCTTCCCACCTACTAATTTGGGGTTTGGCTTGTTCTTGTTTTTCAAAGACCCTGAGGTGAATTGTTACTTTTTTTAACTTTCATCCACTTTATGACTTTATATGTATTTTTGTTGTGTACCTGTATGTCGCTGGGATTGAACCCAGGGCCTTGCACATACTAGGCAAGCACCCTACTTCTATCTCCCTAGCCCTGTCCCTTTGTATTTAAAATGAGTTTCTTGGCCAGGCATGATCTGTAGTCCTACCACTCAGAAGTCTGAATAGAAAGTTCAAGGCCAGCCTGGGCTACATGGTTTCCCTGTAACTGACTGCTGTAAAAAAACCACCAGAAACTCAGTGGCTTAGAACAATAGAAATGTCTATTTCTGGAGGCCAGAGTCCAAATTCAGTATGACTGAGCAGAAATCAAGCATAGACAGTGCCTACTCCCTCTCCTCGGGCTCCTTTTCGGTGGCTACTGGCAGTCCTGGTCATCTTTACATGGCCTGTGTGTGTGTGTGTGTGTGTGTGTGTGTGTGTAAGTCCCTCTTTTTTAAAGGGACACATGTAATTCCATTTAGGGTCTACACAGATAACCCAAGATAATCTATCTCAAAATTCTTAACTTAATCAGACCAGTAAAGACCCCTTTTCTTATAAGATAGCATTCCAGGGATTAGGATGAGTAGGGGGAAGAGATTCTTTTCCCTAACACAATATTTCCATTTCTGTTCTTCCAGTCTTTATGCTATTGCTCTCACATACATATTTTACTTATACATGTTATAAACCCCCAATATACGGTTGTTTTGAACAATCAAACTAAGTTAATCTTTTTTTTCTTTTCTTTTTGGCAGCATTAGGGTTTGAACTCAGTGCCCTGAGCTTGCTAAGCAGGTATCCCACCACTTGAGTCATGCCCCCTAAGTTATTTTTTTTAATTTAATTAAATTAAGCCCTTTATTATTTTTTAAGTATTAAAAAAATGTTTAATAGCTTAAATTGTACAAAGGGGTTTGTGATCTTGACAACATGCATATAATGTACTTTGATCAAATTCACCCCATCTATATTACTAAGTTTCTTTACTACCCTCCCTCCTTTTCGACAGTTTTTAGTGGGTTTCACTGTGCTATTTTCATACATATACCTTTATAGTATTCCCCCCATCACCCTCCTTCTCCCTTCTCCCACGCACTGGTCACCCCCAGCAATCCCCTTTTATAAACATGTCATTATATTTTTTAGGTCTAGATTAGGCTATGAGCAAAAACATGGTATTTGTCACTCTGAATTTGGT